AATTCTAAATTGAAAAGCAGGCACTTTTGAATCTGAAGTGATCAAGCATAAATTCTCCTCACCTTAGCATTGCTCCTAGCTCTGATGTCTCCCACATCCTTCAGTTTGGACTTGTAGAGCATCCAGTGGTAGCGAATTTCCTCAAGATCTACGTCCTCTGCTGACCCAGACACAGTTACTCTGCACTGCTTTTCCTTAAGTAACAGCTGGAACTGCTCTTGACCCCAGGCCACTCCTGCCTGCAGAGCCTGCACCAGGACACAAGAGAATTTATAAGGTGAATAAATAGAGAATCACAAAACATAACAAAAATCAAAACACAACAAGTAGGGAATTACAACCGCAAAACACAACACACAAGTGGAGCTGTGCAGTGACCCCTGGGTCCCTACAGTAGGTGTGTAGAGCTTCCCACAACTGCTATGAAAGATATAGATTCTCATCAGAGGGAATGATAAACCTTTGTCAACAGTTGGAGCCGACATAGTCTGCATCGCTAAATGCTTCTTTACTTGTGGGAGTTATTGATATTGATGTACTGGGTGTGTTAGCGGCGAAATAACTAGACATAGTTAAAACATTAAGTAGCTGTATCCTATGAAATTTAATATTTATTTGGAATGAGGGATAGATAGTTTACAGATTTACCTTGTGACAGCCTCCATCGCTCCCCTCTCTCTCTCTGAGACAGCCCTCACCAAAGTGACACTATAATGTTGCACAGTGCGCATTCTCTTTTAAGGGAAGTTTAAAACAATGTCTGGATTATAAAGTTGATCTCCACCGAGTTCATCTCAATCTCTCCCTGTCTCCAGATGTGCCAGGAGCCTCCTGTCACCAGGAGCATCCTGTCACCAGGAATGAGCACCTCATTTTTCGTGCGCCATGGCACTTTATAGCAAATCAAAGCAGTCCAAATCAGTCCTCTGAAGTTTAACTTGGAGCCTATGAAGAAAAAGTGAATAGGGTCACAATTAGACTTTCCCTACGACTGCTACCTCTCTTTTTATTAAATACCAAGTACAGCAATCTATAAGTTTACAGCTTCCCTATTATTTGATTCAAGATTCAAGATGTTTATTTGTCATATACACAATAACAGACACAGYRSTTATTATTGGGTAATGAMATTCTTATTTTGCAMCTACCCGACCAAAGAACTATGCTTACTAATATAAAAAGAAAAAAAAGAAGAAATATATATAAAATACGAAATATAAAATATAAAGTGCATATGCAATGCAAAATATATAAGTAGAATGAAAATAAACACAATTAAAATAAAGAATAACGAACAACAAATGACCGATCAATGTGCAGTAGGACAGCAATTAAAACAAAATTGACAACAGGAATAGTAAATATAACATTTTATACAATGAGCCCCAGCTGAGACCATACTCTCAGCTGGGGCTCATTGTATAAAATGTTATATTTACTATTCCTGTTGTCAATTTTGTTTGTGGTTGTTAGAGCTTTACCGCCTGTCACATTTGAACTATCAGTTCAAAGAATCAACTACTATGTCCAACAAAAGTTTGATACTAACACACACACACGTCATGCAATTATTTATTTGTGAGGACATCCATCAACTTTTTCAGTGTTTCATTAATGTTTTCTATTCCTGTCGCAATTTCCTTCACTGCATCCAGGAGAGCCAGCTGATTTTGTACAACCTCAGCGGTTATGGCAGGGACATGCCAACGAGACTCAATGAAAGACGACTGGGAAGTGGACTGTGTGGCAGGTGCTGAGAGGTCATCCTCCGGTCCTGCATCATGTGGGTCTACAAATTATATTGTTTAGCCCAATTAATTAACTATTGCAAGCAGCAATGCCATTTTCATTTAAATAGAATTTTGTTCTGATTGAATTGCACTCTGGGTGATGGTTCTTGGTCGACATCATCACTTTCTCCCTCATTCCTTGAACAAATTCCACTCAGTGATGACTGTCCAATAATAGCTGCCAGCCTCTTTTCCTTGGCTGTCAGATCTGGTGTTCCTTGTCTTCCTCCTGTTTCCTTATTTTTTTTCTGGTTTGCGATTTGTTTTTGGCATCAACTTTGATGTCAAACCTTATTTTTTATTAACTTGTGTCAATGTCCGAACCTCAGGGGACACAGCTTTCACCACCTCAGTTATTACAGCCCAGGCTTCAGTTTTTTGAAACAATTATTTAAATTTCTGTGAAATTCTTCAGTTTTTTACTTTTTGAGGCCATCTCTTATAACATCAACGTCTCTGTTCAGCACATCACTCTCTTATATAGAGAAATAGAGGGTTGGCAGTATGATAATTGCAGATAGCGGACACGTGCCTGTCAATTTAGAATGATTCAGATTCACAAACATATGCAAGGAGGTGGGAACAAAATTGGCTGGTGCGTACGTGTCATGAATCAGGCGGCGATTTCACGCATGTGCTTATTTTGTGCGGAGAGTACATTTCTGCACACATATTATGTGTTTAGCCGCACGTCATCCTTTCACCGCTGGCTGTCGAGGTGGTGTCCAGATAACAACGTCGGCTTCGTTAACAATTGGAGAACTTTTTGGGGGAAACCTGGTCTGATTAGGAGAGACTGTATTCATCCCACTTGGGATGGAGCAGCTCTCATATCTAGAAACATGACRATGTTTGTTAGAAAGTCCACACCGTGACAATCCAGAGTTGAGACCAGGAGGCAGAGTCGCAGTC